GGGGCCCAGCCCTGGCCAAAAGGCTGCAGGCCAGGCAGGGTGGAGCGGGGTGACGCGGGGCGAAGAGGACCCCCCGTCCGTCCTTCATGGACGCGCAATTTGTCCACGGTCCGCTGATAGCGCGCTCAAACTCCATTTAGTAAGTGAATAAAAAAAAACAAAAGGAAAAGAGAGCAAATGACAATGGAAAAACAAAAAAAGAAGTCAAGCTGGACACAATGTAAGCACAACGAAATCACAACTCCTCGCAATAGACACTGCACCAGCATCAGCCAGCGCCCTCTGACCCCGGCAGCCCGCGAGCCTTATCGGCCTTAGCGGCCGGCCATCCATCAGCGGCGCTAAACACTTTCGTGTGGCGCCTATAGCGCCTGGCGCCTCCTCGGGCCGCATGAATGAGTGCGTGAGGGACAGGCGCGGCACCCGGCGGCACGCGCCGGCACGCGAGGCTAATGACGGAACAAACTACCAGTCTGTCAGATCAAATGTGTACATCGTATATACCGTAAGTAAAGCGAAGTGGCTACTTCAGGTGCTGCGCATGCCCGCTTGTACGCATTTATAAGACTACACATAACCACGCACCGCGCCATGCACATCGCCATGCACACTGCGCAAAGACCCACTGTAATTTGGGGGTGTCTCAAATGTATACGCCAAAAGGCGTATGCTGCAGGATCCCGAGCAACATTTGGCGTATACTTTTGAGACATCTTTTGGCGTATATATTCTAGACATCTTCGGCCATACCATTCCCACAGCACAGCACATGCTCTTGGATAAAGGCGCTCTGAAAGGCGCTCACATCCTGTACACCCTTGCATCTGCATGCACGGGCAGCTAGGGCTGTGCTGTGGGAGTAGTATGGACAAAGATGTCTAGAACCTATTCTATACGCCAAAAGATGTCTCAAAAGTATACGCCAAATGTTGCTCGGGATCCTGTAGCATACGCCTTTTGGCGTATACATTTGAGACACCCCCAAATTACAGTGCACACTGCCACACTGTTAAAAAAGTTGTGAAATTTCACATCAAAATCAGTTGTAAAATTGCAAACGTGGTTGGGAAATTTCATAACATTGTCAATTTTGCAATTAGTTAATAAAATTCAGAACAGTTTTCTGAAAATTCAAATCTGTCTTCTGAAAATTAGGAAACATTTGTAATTTTACAATTTGCGATTGTAAAATTGTGATCACTCTATCGGAAACGTGAGATTTGATTGTAATTTTCCGATTGCAGTTTGTAATTTTGCGAAGTAAAACCAAATGAAACAGGACCTGCACAAGTCCTCCATTAGGTTTACTACAGTACAACGAACCTCCACACCTAGAAGCCCGTTGTGACTTTGGACTTTCATGCGACGAAACAGCAACTGTACTTTGAAGAACTGCCGCCAGATGGCGTTGTGGTCAGCGCCTCTCTTCCAAGAGCAATTATTAGTATTTAAGTAAAAGTTGCACAAGAAACTGACATGTATTTTTGTGCGGTATGATCTGTAACACAATGCTGTAGCTGGCTACGCATTTGTTTTTGAGCAAAAAGTCAACCAAGTGCCCCAAATAATTGGTCTAATTCCAGCGCGCGCCGGTCCCCGCTACCTCTCCTTAGTTAGGTACGGCGCCGTTCGCAACCGTTCAGTAGGGGGCGCCTGAGAAGCGCTCTCGTATTATTGTTGTGACTTTACCCTCAGAGGTAACTGTCGCTTCTTCAGCCCAACGAGCTGTTCCCTAGACCGTCTGTGGTACACCTACTCCATGTTCATGACATATTATTTTAATCTTATAAACCTTGATGTTTTGATAATTCACATTATCGTTTTTAATTTTCAGATCGCAGATTGTGAAATTTCAAAACACGTTTGCAATTTTTTTACAAGTGTTTTAGTTTGTAATTTTACAAACATTGAATTGCGTAAAAAGTTGCCAACAAAATTTGTAAAATTACAATCGATTTTTTTAACAGTGCATACTTCTCTTAGTAAATGTGATGTGCAAGTGTACATGTACACTTTAAAAATGTGTCCTTTGCCATTCACATATTTATAAATGCGTATGCGCATGTGCACATTAACACAAGTACGCACTAACGCACACTTTTTAGATACCATGTTTAACAAGTACACATTTGAATTGGCAGTGTACGCGTGATTTCCTGCTGGCGTCCATACTAACACTGGAGGCGACCGGGGGTTATCTGCTCAGCAGCGAAGAAGCAGGAAGAAAAGAGGTCGGTACAATTTTGTTTTACGTATCCACGTGGCCGGTAATAAACAAAACGAAACAAAAAGCGGCGCACGCAGACGATAAATAAAAATAATCGTGCGTCGATAGGGTGGCGGTGGCCCTCATACTCTGCCGCCGCGAAACAACGCGGACGTCGAGCGCACAAGCAAAAAATATATATATATAAAAAATACACAAATAAAACACGGTTTCGTTATTCTCTCGCAAGTCTCGCAGGTGTGAGTGTGTGTGTTGTGTGCAGTGTGGAGAGCCCGCCGTCGCCGCAGCCACATCGACACTCACTTTCCCCCCGTCCCGCGCACCCTTATATTTTCTTATCACCCGCCGGTGTCGGAGCAAAAATATTTATATAAATCATGGCCCGCTATCCCCGCCATGTTTTATGTATAGCTGGCCACGCTCTGCCGGAGCAGCCATTCTCTCCTAGCGGAGAGTCGTGCATCCAGCGGCGCGGCGCACGCCTCCGACCGACACCTGCACGGAACAGTCTGCCTACGCCACCACCACCATGGTGGTGGGGCACGAGGGCACGCGTACGAACTCCGCGTGGGGTCGCGCAACGCCTCGCGCAACACGCGCGCCCAGCTGACAGGTGCGCACGCGCGCTCACGAGTGGCCGCACGCCTCTTTTGCCCTTTTTATCAAACTCGGATTCGAACTGTATTCAATCATCACAAAACCCTGAATCGAAACTCTCTCTGGCGAGGCCGCGCGGAGTAGGCGAGGCGGCGCGTGGCGCTGTCGGCGTGTGGAGGATTCATCAGGGGGCGAATCCTCGGTGACCGGATATCTTTCCCCTTTTTACACTTTTAGAAATATTGAAAAAATCTGAGTCGGCAAGAAGAATTGACTACGAGGTACCCGGCCTGCCTTCAGGTGTTGTCCACTCACATACGGTCTACACGCCTGACTGTTTTGCAAAAACAAAAAAAACAAAAAAATAG